CTTCTCCAGGCTGAACAGCCCAAATTTCCTCAACCTGTCTTCATACGGGAGGTGCTCCAGTCCTCTGATTATCCTCGTGGCCCTTCTCTGGACTTGTTCCAACAGTTCCATGTTCTTTTTATGTTGAGGACACCAGAACTGCACACAGTACTCCAGGTGAGGTCTCACAAGAGCAGAGTAGAGGGGCAGGATCACCTCCTTTGACCTGCTGGTCACGCTCCTTTTGATGCAGCCCAGGATAGGGTTCGCTTTCTGGGCTGCAAGCGCACACTGCCGGCTCATGTTCATTTTCTCATCAACCAACACCCCCAAGTCCTTCTCCACAGGGCTGCTCTGAATCTTTTCTCTGCCCAACCTGTAGCTGTGCCTGAGATTGCTCCGACCCAGGTGTAGGACCTTGCACTTGGCATGGTTAAACCTCATGAGGTTGGCATCAGCCCACCTCACAAGTGTGTCAAGTTCCCTCTGGATGGCATTCCTTCCCTCCAGGGTATCAACCGAACCACACAGCTTGGTGTCATCGGCAAACTTGCTGAGGGCGCACTCAATCCCACTGTCCATGTCAGCGACAAAGATGTCCAAACAGGCCAGGAGCGTGGCGAACAGAGCGGGTTGAGGCAGTTTGCGCGGCAGTTTGCACGGGCAGGAGAGCGGGATGGTGAGCACTTGTCGTATGATCAGGGCCCGGTCTGGGAGCTCTGCTCTGGCTGCCCCGGTGGTGGCCAGCATAGGCACCCAGACAGAGCCGATGAGAGGGGAGGCTGCAGTGCAGAGCTCTGAGTGTAGAAAGTGCCTGCACTGGTCTCCTGAGGGGAGGGTGCACAATGGGCAGGGCTGCACTCGGTGCTCCCTGGTGGAGGTGCTCCTGCAGCAGCTGGCTGAGCTGCGGGATACTGTTAATAGACTGCGAGATGTCAGGGAAGCTGAGAGGAAGCAGGAATGCTTGCTCCACGCCCAAACTGTCCAGTGGCCTCGAGCTTCACCTCTACCTCATGAAGGAAAGAAAGAGGCCGTTAACCCGGGAAGCTGGGAATTAGTGACAAAAAAAAAAAAGAAGGAAAAGGACAATCAAAAGTGAGGGGCTTCCCCCTAAATCCCCTGTCTCCATGCAGAACAGCTTTGCTGTCCTGCAGGGGGCTAATGAGGAAGCGCACTCGAGCCAGAAACAACCGGCTGAGGCTCTGCTAAAGATCTCTACTGGTGCTGCTAGGAAAAAGCGGCGGGTCGTAGTAGTAGGGGACTCTACACTAAAAGGGACAGAAGCACTTGTCCGCCGGCCAGACCCCGTCTCAAGGGAGGTGTGTTGCCTACTGGGGGCACGGATCAGGGATGTGGCAGAAAGGCTGCCTGCTCTAGTAAATCCCACGGATTATTACCCACTCCTGGTGATACATGTGGGTGCTAGGGACATAGATAGTAGCAGCCTGGGGAACATAAAGGACTACAGAGCCATGGGAGAGGTGGTTAGGGGCTCTGGAGCTCAGGTGGTCTTTTCATCAATTCTCCAGGGTACAGGGGAGGACCTAAAAAAAGCTAGGAGGATTAGCCAGGTTAATAAATGGTTAAAAGGGTGGTGTCATAGTCAGGGGTTTGGGTGTCTTGAACATGGGACCCAAGCTTGTAGGCCAGGTCTACTGGGGGCTGGTAGAGCTGCTCTGATAAAGAAGGGAAAGAACAGTTTTGGTAGGAGGCTTGCCAGACAGGTCAAGGAGGCTTTAAACTAGATGTGTTGGGGGAGGGGAGCATCATTCCATTCCAACACACCCAGTCAGTTGCCAGAACCTATAATAAATGCCTGGAGCAATGTAGAGATATCCCAGCTGCTCCAGCCAATGAGCCGGCTTCATTTGGAGCTCGGCTCAGATGCCTCTATACAAATGCCCGTAGCATGGGGAACAAACAAGAGGAATTAGAGATGTGGGCACATCTACAGGGGTATGATATAATAGGCATTGCAGAAACATGGTGGGATGGCTCCTATGACTGGAGTGTTGGAATGGAAGGTTACAGGCTCTTTAGGAAGGACAGGCCTAGCGGGCGGGGAGGGGGAGTTGCCCTTTATGTTAGGGATAGGCTGGAGAATATGCAACTCTGTCTGGGAACAGGTGAGCAGTCCACAGAGAGTTTGTGGGTCAGGGTTAAAGGGAATATAGCTATGGGAGACATTACTGTGGGCATCTGTTACAGACCGCCTGATCAAGGAGAACCTGTGGATGAAGCACTCTATAGACAGATAGGAAAAGCTTCACACTCTCAGGCCCTTGTTCGCATGGGTGACTTCAACCACCCTGACATCTGTTGGAAGGACGGTATAGCCTGACACAAGCAATCCAGGAGGTTCCTCGATTGTGTAGAAGACAACTTCCTTCTGCAAGTAATAGAGGAGCTGACAAGGAGAGGTGCCATGCTTGACCTCCTGCTCACCAACAGGGAAAGGCTCGTTGGAAATGTGATGCTCCAGGGCAGCCTTGGATGCAGCGATCATGAGATGCTCGAATTTGAGATCCTCAGGACAGTGAGAAGAGCGTGCAGCAAGCTCACTGCCCTGGACTTCAAAAGAGCAGACTTTGGCCTCTTCAGGAACCTGCTTCGGAAGGTTCCATGGGATACAGCCCTAGAGGGCAGAGGGGCCCAAGACTGTTGGTTGATATTCAAGGATCACCTGCTGCAAGCTCAGGAGTGTTGCATCCCAACCAGAAGGAAGTGCAGCAGGAGGGCCAGGAGACCTCCTTGGATGGATAAGGAGCTCCTGAGGAAAATTCAATTGAAAAAAGAGGCTTATAAAAGGTGGAAGCAAGGACGGGTGGCATGGGAAGAGTACAGGGATATTGTCCGAGAAGCTAGGGACCAGGTTAGGAAAGCTAAGGCTCATTTAGAATTAAACGTAGCTAGAAATATTAAAGATAACAGGAAGGGATTCTACAGGTACATAGCAAATAAAAAACAGACTAGGGAGAATGTAGGCCCCCTCAGGAAGCTCTCGGGAGAATTAGCTACACAGGATTTGGAGAAGGCTGAGGTTCTGAATGACTTCTTTGCCTCAGTCTTCACTGCCAAAGGCTCTGACTGCACCACCCAAGTCTTGGAAGGCAGATGCACGGACTGTGAGAATGAAGACCTTGTGCCCACTGTAGGAGAGGAACTGGTTTGAGATCAGGGTTGGTGCCGCTGCTTCAGGCTCCGCCCCGTGTGAGTCAGCTGCTGGTGTCAGCTGAGCTGCCGGCTCCTGGGCAGGTCCTGTCAAGGACTTGAGGCTCCCTCCGTGGCTCTTGTCGCTCTGAGTTGGGGCTCCTGGACGCTGATCTCCCCCCCGCTCCGGTGTTGAAGGTGTCCTCTCTCGAGCTACTCACCTCAGCAATTGACCAAGATAGACGATAACTAAATCGTAGCTGCTAAGAACCGTTCTAATTTGTGTATTTGCAACTTTATTAAGATTGTTGGATGTGACTACGTATTCAGCACCAGTTGTATCCCACTAACTGATAAAATCCAATTACACAATGTACCACAAGCTATCACCTGCCCCCATTGGAATGAACCTTACGCTGGTGAGGCAATTAACAAAACATCCTGCCCTGATAAACATAATGAAAGAGGTCCAGGAAAACGGAAAGAAAACTTTAATTACAGTTCATCATGACACAGAAGAAATATGCAAAGTTTTATTAAGGGTAGAACAAGATACAAGCCACCATTGGTGGGATGTACTTTTCGGATGGTCACCAACTGCAACTGGTGTACTGAATACGTTGTGTCACCCTATTTTTGCTTTTTTTAATATTAGTTAGTATTAGTTTCGTATTGTCTATTGGATTATTTGTTTGGAACTGGCAAATGTTACAGCGCATAATGGGTTTGACTTCTCTGTTAAACACACATGGTAAAGCACTGAGAGACACCTTCCGCAAGGAACTTGTCTGAAGAGTAAAGGAATTTACTCACTTTATAGAAAAGGGGGGACTGATACAGAGGTTTAGTTAATATACAGGGGGCTTGTACAGGGGGGTTAAAAGAATTATGCTTGCTTAACAAAAGTTCTGCTTGCTCAGCAAACACCTATCATGCTTACTGATTAAAACCAGCTGTGTGGTTTGAACTTTGACCAGACTTATGATTAAAACCAGCTTCGCAATTTGCACTTTGACCAGATTCCTAGAGAGCATGCATGACGGCTAGAGGTAAAAAGTTCAGGCTCGAGGAAGACTCATTTACTTCATTTTAAAGACCCCCACTCACAAGAGGAAGACTCATTTACTTCATCTTGAGACCCTTGCCCATGACTAGGGGGGCACTGCGCAGGCATGAAGGACCTTCTAGCTCATTATAATACGAAGCGGGGATAGGACATGAATATGTATAGGCATATCATGTAACCTTATGAATATGTATAACTTTAGAGAATAAATGTAGAGGGAAACAACATTGAGATGCGCATGCGTTTGGAGGAATTATCCTTGTGCGCCTTAGCGCTGAATAAAAAGCATACCTACTTTACAACTTTAACGAGTTGTGAAGTCAATCTGTATCAGTCTCTTCTCCCAAGTAACAAGCAATAGGACAAGAAGTAATGGCCTCAAGCTGTGCTAGGGGAGGTTTAGACTGGATATTAGGAAAAATTTCTTCACAGAGAGGGTAATCAGGCATTGGAACAGGCTGCCCAGGGAAGTGGTGGAATCAATGTCCTTGGAAGTGTTCAAAAAAAGTGTAGACAAGGCCCTCAGTGATATGGTTTAGTGGTGGCCTTAGCAATGCTGGGGGAATGGTTGGACTTGATGATCTTAAAGGTCTTTTCCAACCTAGTTGATTTTATGATTCTATGAATCAGCGCATCGCACTCTTCCTCAGCAACTTCGACCAGTAGGGTAGGGTCGGGAATGGCGCTAAGGGCCTCGGGGCTGCTGGTCTCTGACGGGCGTCGGCCCTCGTAGGTGATGAAGTGGGCACTGTGGCGTTACCGGTGGCGTCCGCACGTCTGCCCTTGCCTGCCCGGTGGGGGGGAAATGGTGGGTCCCGGCGAGGTGAGCCTCCGGGCCGGAGCCGGGCCAAGGCCGGCGGCGAGTAGCGGGAAACGGCCCGCCTCTCCCTGAGGGCGCCGCTCAGCTCCAGGTCCCGCGCTCGGGTCGGCGAGGGGGCGACCTGGGGGCCCGCGGGGCTTGAGGAATGCGCTGGCCTCAGCTCGGTGGCGGGCGGGCTGAGGCGCTGCCCCCGCGGCGCGCGCCGTGCTCCTGTCAGCCTCGGGAGGGCTCCCGCGTCAGACTATCTGCGTAAAGCGTTGTTATTTTACTTTTGAATGCGGTATAGCAGTCCTGGTACTTAGAAACATGTAACACACATGGCGGTAAGGGCCTGTTTTGTTTTAAAGCCAAGGAAAATATCCATGAAATTAAGAAAGAATTTGATTCGCTCTTGCAAACAGCTGAGAAGGCGTTTATGGTGGAGCTGCTGAAGAAGCCAGTTGCCATCAGGAAAATTAAAAGTCTTGCTTGGTAAGTGCATGTCCTGGTTTCAGCAGGGATGCAGTTAATGTTCTTCCCAGTGGCTGATACAGCACAACGTTTTGGCTTTAGCCAGAGAACAGTGTTGATGACCCAGGGGTGGTTTGGTTACCACTGAGCAGTGCTCACAGAGCCAAGGCCTTTTCTGCCTCTCACCCACCAGCGAGGTGGCTGGGGGGCCCAAGAAGGAGGAGGGGACTCTGGGAGGAATGACATTTGTCTTCCCGAGTCACCATGAGGTGTGATGGAGCCCTGCTGTCCTGGCTGAGCACCTGCCTGCAGTGGGAAGTGGTGAATCTGAAATCAACCTGACTGGGAATGAGTGATTAGCTGCTTTGGAGACAGAGGAAATTAAGGCACTGTCTGCCTTTGTCTGGGGTTAAACCACAGCAGTGTGCATGGCCTTATATTTGTGAGGGATGCAGGCACCATTACAGCATGATGTACCCCTGACTGATGCAAGAAAACCTGTAAACTTGGTGTCTTCTATATAAAAGTTTGCTTTGTGCTCTGAGTACATTAACTAATTGGCAGTGGTATTGCACTGCAGGTGTTAGTAATAGGTGATTATATTTTAAAACCTGTTAATCAGTAGAGGGTTTCTTTTGTATTAAGAACAAGTTGAAATTCTTCTATTGTGTATCTTAGTTACTTTATAACTAAACATTACAATGGTAGCTATAATGATAAGCAATTAACATAGCCATATATGGGAAGCGTACATGGGTGGATTTAGGGGAGTATTGTGAAACTCTACCAAAGCAGAACTCACAAAAGTACCAGGAGTAGTCAAGTGAAAATAAGAGAATGCTGTCATCCACATAATGGTTGGGACATGTCCAAGGAACACAAAGGTGAACAGGACAAGCTGAGGAAGACTTCTTACTTCATCCGAGGAAGACTCCTTACTTCATCAGGACGACCACCAGAGGGGGGCTGCGCAAGCGCAAAAGAGGCTGATGTCCTAATAGACTGATGTGTCAATCCTTGATGCATATGTATTAGTCAATGATGTAATCTGTGTTGAATATGTATTAGTTACGACATTTTTAGTGTATAAATTGTGAGCGCAATGTGACGGGGTTGAAGGCAGATTTGGGCGCATGCCCCTGGTTTCCCAGCGCTGTAATAAAGCACCTCATATAACCATTCCAGTGGTTATGTGTCAGTCCTTAAGCTAACACAGGGATTCACTCAGTACCTTTAAGTAGACTGACCCTTGTAACACAGGGTGTAGAATTAGTTAGTAACAGTGTATAGAGTCCAGCACCTTATTTCACATGTGCTCTTAAGTCATCTTACTTAAAGCCTGAAGAGATAAGGAATAATTACAAGTCTAGTATTTTCTGTGTGTAAAAATGTGAGCACTTCTTTCCATCTGAATCTGTTCATCCTAGTGAAGCACAAAATCAGACTCTACAACTCAAGAGTTATAAAGCAGGTATGTTTATTACGGTGTTGGGTGGGGTGCAAGGGGGTCACTCCTCCTAACTAGCACACTAAGGGGTTAAGCAAGAAGATATTTATTACACACAAACATGCATATTCATTAGGTTCCCGAGAGTTCGGTGGGGATATTACAATTAGTTTAGGAACTCATTATCATAAGCCCTTTCGGCGCTTGCACACTGCCCTCTAATGGTCGTGGGCAGGGATCTTCAAGATGAAGTAAGTAGTCTTCCTCATGTGGACAGGGGTCTTCAAGATGAAGTAAGCAGTCTTCCTCAGGGTGCACTTTTCACCTTTGGCACAGTTGGATGCCCCAGTAATCAGAAATTAGCTGAAACCAGCTGTATCTGCAAGTTTCTGATAGCTGGCAAAGATTTAGAACAGTGTGACCTTCATCTACAAAATTTATTGCCTCCCAAGCTAGCAGATGTTTGGGAGTCACTGTCTCCAAACTAACTGATAATTAGAAGGATGGTAGTTCACTCTTGTTAGTAAGACTAATAAATTCTGTTATCACACCAAAGACTTACAACACAAACATTGTTCTCTATCTTAGACCGAAGTAAAGTTAAAAGTATTTTAACCCTATGTTTTCCAGGCACTCGCTTTCCTTATATCAAGTCCCCCATTTTCTTTTACCTTTGCAAATTCTTTTGCTATGTAACTCCGTTTTACTCAGGAGTTCTGGCAAAGTATTTACCACTTTCAACTTGTTGTCTAATCTGTTGTCTTTTCCAGTCCTCATAATCAATTACGGACCTTTTAAAACACCAAAAAGAATCATGCCACAAGTAATTAGTATTAAGATTTCTGCAACCAGTTGCTTCAAACAGGAGAGATTAGAGTTAACCATGAAGTTAACTTTTTCCATATTTCTTCAAAACCCCAAAAGGTATCATCCTTGGTCATCTCATGAAATATTTCAGTTTGTTTCCAAATTTTCTCCAAATCTGTTTCAATTCTGCTACTTTGATCTATATAGGAATCATTGATTATGGAACAAACCCCCCCCTTGTGAAGCCAATAACCTGTCTAGTGCCATTTGGTTCTTGTAACAATTTTGCACTAAAGTGCGAGCCTTGGTTGGAAGAAATTGCTTCTGGTACTCCAAAATGAGGTATTATCTCATTTAATAATGTTTTAATTACTTGTATTGCATTATTTATTCTAAAAGAGAATGCTTCTGGCCAGCCTGAAAAGTATCCGTTAACACCAATAAATATCATAAACCTCCTTTTCTCAGTAATTCAGAAAAATCTATTTGCCACTGCCGTCCTGGATAACTTCCTCTCCCAATTTTCCCAATTTGATTTTTATTTTCAGTTTTAGGATTATTCTTAAGATAGAGCTGACATTGTTTTGTCACTAATGGAAATATGGTGTATAGATTCCTTCCTATAATTTGTTTGTCTAAATATTGGTACAAAGAGTTGCTACCCCAATGAGTTTTATTATGTTCCTCCTGAACTAGCTTCCAGAGTTGATTACAGTGAATTACAATTCGCCCATCAGGTATCTGAACCCAACCCTCTTCGTTTTCCTGTCTTTTCAGATCTTCAACCAACATTTTATCCTCTTTTGAATATCTAGGTTCAGATTTCTCAATTGTTAGTTTGCCATCAGGGATTAAGGACATGATTTTAGATTGTTCAAATGCTTGTTTGGCTTCGAAATTGGCCAAATTATTTCCAGTTTTCTGATTAGGGTCACCTTGTTGCTGCCCTCAACAATACATAATAGCTACTTCCTCAGGTAGCTGAACAGCAGTTTCTATAGCATGTTTAATCTGTTTCCCTTGTATGTCCAAAAGTCCTCGTTCTTTCCAGATGGCACCATGTGCACGTACCACACCAAATGCATATTTAGAATCAGTCCAAATATTTATCCTTGTCCTGGGTTCAGCAGTAGCAGTCATTTTTCTCCTTCTTGGTAGCTGGTGCAGTGCAGTGCTTTGACTTTTGGCTTGGGAACAGAGCTGATAACAATGATGTTTTGGTTTGGCCAAGGACTTTGTGAGCCTCATGCTCTGCCAGGGAGGAGCGGAAGCCGAGAGGAAGCAGAGACAGGACATCTGACCCAAACTGACCAAAGAGGTATTACATATCACAGCACGTCATGCCCAGGATGTAACTGGGAGTTAGCCGGAAGGGCTGGGAGACTGCAGGGTTGGAGGAGGTATCGGTCGGTGCTTGGTTGGGCTGGGGGGGCAAGTTATCGGTCAGCTGGTGGTGAGGTGATGTATTCTCTTCCCTTGTTATTTCCTTTATCATTGTTATTATTGGTGGTAGCAGTAGTGATTTGTGTTATACCTTAGTTACTAAACTGTTCTTATCTCAACCCTTGGGAGTTGCATTCTTTTAGATTCTCCTCTCCATCCCTCCGGGAGTAGGGGGAGGGAAGGAAGGGGGGGGAGTGAGTGAACGAGTTGCCTGACTGGGTTTAAACCACGACAGTTCTTTTTGGCGCCCAACGTGGAGCACGAGGGGTTGAGATAACGACAGATCTGACCAGATTAATAGTCACTAGTCACAGTGCTGATTTATTGGCTCTCAGAGTTGTTCCTCTTGATCTCACAGTTTCAGAATGTAGTACATTACTTAGAGCCGGTATTTACTGTGTTAGTGTTTATCAAGTGTGGGGCTTGGGCTAAGGTTCTTGTCTCACTGTACTTTATGGCAATGACTTGTAATACGGGTGGGCTCCAGCAGCAGGGCGGGACAGACGTGGCCGTGGACTTGTACCTGGCCATCCGGCTGCTCTTCACCGTCCTGGCCCTCGTCCTCGCCTCCCTCTTGGTGAGGCCGCGGGGAGCCGAGGGGGAGCGGCCCCGGGAGCCGGCAGCAGCCGAAGCGGCCCGGGAGAGCGGCCCCGGGGACCAAGCGGCGGCGGGAGCGGGGCTGGAGGCCGCGAGGGGACGGCTGCCGGTGGAGGAGGTCGGGGCGGTCGAGGAGAGGAAGGAGGCGGCTGCTGAGCAGCGGGAGAAGGCGGCGGAGGAGCCGAGTCCCGCGGAGGAGCCGAGCCCCGCGGAGGAGCCCAGCCCCACGACGGCCGAGAGCATCTCCCGGAAGCCGCCCGCCGAGCCCCAGGAGGATGCAGGAGACCACGCAGCATTTCTCAGCAAGGCAGAGGAGGAAGATCTGGACTCAGGAAAAGAGAAGCTGGTGGTGGGAGAGCCGGCAAGCACAGCAGCTACACCAGCCCCAGTGACAAGTACAGCAGCATCGTTTGAGAGTTCTGAAGGTTTTGAATGGCCTTTGGGTATCCTTGGGACCTGCCTGCTGATTGTGATGGGGATCACCATGTTGGCACACACACAGACTGTGTTTTACCCACCACCATTTTGTCTGATCTCAAAAGTTAAGCAGAGTCAGGTTTGGGTCTTGTCTGGGGTTAGACGACGATATAGGGGGACCAAGAGGTTTTCTCCAAGGCTGGAGAGTCATGAGTGGCAGGGTGTGTGGGACAGTCTGGGCAATTATCTAGTCCACTGGGCCCCTCCAGTGCTTTGGAAGCGTCGGAGATGGAAGGCAGCTGTATGGAGTC